GTTTTGACTTCTGACAGACAGTTAACAAGTTCAGATAGTTTGAAAAACAGAGGTTTGAAAGGAACAATACAACTGCATGTCATCAGTATACAGATGGTAGGACACATTACTGTAATGTTTTAAAATACCTCCTAAAGGGTACAGGTACAATAAAAAGAGGATTGGGCCCAAAACTGAACCTTGGGGTACCCCACAAGACAGCGGTGCAACATCAGAGTAAACCTGATTCATAAAAACAGTAAAAGACCGTTCAGATAAAAAAGAGGTGAACCAGTTTAACACAAAGCCAGAAATACCAAAATTATCTCTCAGTCTGTTGATAAGAACAATTTGCACTTTCTAAATTTAGAATTGAGTAGCRTTAATTGGAAATAACGTTTCACATTCAATCCTCAGTTTCATCAGAAGTAAAGCGAAAAAGCCGTCTAAACTCACTGTTTTGTAGCCGTATACTTCATTAAAATTTCATCATAATTTTCTTGAACAAAGGAGGGGAACACAATGGAGCTCCACGGTGAGAAAACAACCCCTCAACAACATTGTGTTCACAGAGCTTTATACTCTGACTGTCCTTCTTGGTGACTGTTTTCATTTAGTAGTGTTCCCACAATTCTTTGCGTGGCAGGAAGCAGTTGGAGCTTCTTCACTGGGCGACAGTCCACCTGCGGTTGATCTGCAGAACCACACTCAGCTGTGCAGTTTGTACCTCCTCTCCAAGGGACACCGCAGTGATAAATATTAAATAAATAAATAAACATGGAAGAGTTTAAATTCATGCTCTTATTTTGAAAAGAACGGAGTCCCTGTTCTGTGTCCTGTAGCCTACCCAGAATGCATTGCTTCAGTTTTACAACAGTTTAAAATCATTAATATATATGTACGTTTTCTTACCGAAGCCTTACCATAAACGTAAGAAAATGACCAAGAAGCAGCAGAACTAGCAACAAACAACTAGTTTTTGTTTTAACAACATGATTTAAAAGTCTGTTTTGAYGAATCACCTCCCCATACTGCGCCGAACATGTGCCAATCTGTGAAAGAAAATCAGCTCACCACTAGATGGTAATAAAGTGTTGACTTGTCTTTTACCTAAATGTTTTCTGGTTAACGGAGATAACTTTGCGCTTTAAACTTCCGCTAAATTTATTAGAGCATATGCACTTTTATACTTGCGGACATAAATAAATTGACTAGCACTTTAGAAATTGCGCAACTAAAATTTCAATTAGCGCTGCCCAYCACTGCATGCTGCAGTGTTTCATCTACAGGGTGGATGTCAGGCCCCCCTTCAAGTAACCCTGGCCCCCTGAGTGATTTAGTTGAATAGCCCTATACTTTTCACCTACCACCTTAATTCCCTATATTTTTGACTATCTTTGATAAAGTTAAAACTAATTTTGATCAAATCTTGACAAGAACTCTGCACTCTCTCATGTAATAATGCAAGATGTCTTTTAGCACTCTGAGTATTTGTTGAAGATGACTCTCAGCTACTACCACACCACATTTAATCTGTAAAATGACTCGTTTATAGCATTTTACTGTATCTGTTTGCTGCTGATGCTTCCTGACAGGAAACTCGTTTGACCTCTGCCTGCGTTTAGTTTGGCTCACGTTTGTGCGTTTCCCATGTGTGCGCTCGCAGCGATCCCGGTCGGCGTTCTCCCTCACCAGTGACGACTCGCTGGACAAGGGTCCAGAGGAGGAGGAGGCTGCTGGAGCTGGAGGYGGGGGCTTACAGGAGTACGCTTCCCTGAAAAGAGACGCCAAGGCTGCGTGTTTACCTGGCTGGAAGAGCATGGATCGTCTGGACAACTCCAGTAAAAACACACACACACTCAAGTGTTTTTTTTTTTTTTTTTTGGTTTGTTTTGTTTTGTTTTTTCACTCGTTATCAATGCGAGTCATTTCTTACAGACCTGCAACATGGCATAGAAGTGAGTCAAAGCAGGTTTAACTAATACATTAGATTTTATTAAATCAGCTACTGTTTATTTGATTATTTTAAGCGTTAGCTAATGACTCTATATCTTTGTGTAAAATTTTAAATAGACTGTTTGCAGTTTACTTTATTAGAAAGYAATCCTGTTTGTGTGTTTGTAAAATATTTGATGAACCACTGTTAGGTGGTGGCAAAAATAACATCAGTGAGGGAGAACGTCTCCCAGCCCACGCATGGAACTGTGGATGATCTGCCGAGCTCCTTCAGTGACAGACTGCTGCATCCTAAATGCGCAAAGGAGCGCTACCGCAGATCAGTCCTCCCATCAGCTGTTAGACTCTACAACCATCACCGCTCCCAACAAACTCACTAAGCATCCATGCTTGTGTTTGCACGTTAAACAAATCTATCTCTCAGTCATAGTATAAATAATACTTTGGGGTTATTGTACATCTTTTTTTTCCAGTATTGGAACACTGACTTAATGACTTAATTTGACTCAGTCACACACCCCATCGGATTACGAGTCTGTCATGACTGTTTTCTTGCAACATTTTTTCCGCACAGTATCTTATTTTTATTTTTACCTTATTTCACCATTATAGCCATGTGCAGTAATTTTATTTTTATTTTTTTATTATTTAATTTTTATTATTATCTTAACTCTACCATTATTGCTACTGGTGATGCTGTCACATAGCAATATACTGTTTTGACTGATGTATCTGCTGCTGCTGTTACACCTGAATTTCCCCTCTGCGGGACAATAAAGGCTGTTTYTATTCTATTCTATTCTATTCTAACGTAACCAAAGTCTTGAAAAGAATGAAATGAAAAAATCAATCTTAGTCCCAGACAAAAGAGGCTACATCTCAGTCAGTTGTACAGATGTTGATCTAAAGTTTGGTTTGGTAGTAGGTGGGAGTCATTCATAACTCATACTCTGAGTGTGACAACTTGTAAACATTGCATGAGGTTGTGCAGAATGATATAGTTGATGCTTGACCTAAATGGCTACAACTCCAATATTTCTTCCAAGAAATACTTTAAAGGGGACCTTTTATGCAAAATTCACTTTTTAAAGTTTTTTTTTACTCAACTTTGGGTATGTACTTCTTAAAAAAAACAGTCCTAGGACCAAAAAAATGCACCCAGGGGCATATTTGCTGTAAGTAAATGTACTTTTAATGTATATTAACGAAAAGTTTTATACTTCTGTCATTTTGTGATGTCACAAGCCGTACGACAACCGACTGGAACCTGCGTTCAGCCCCTGGTGAAGCTTCACCTCCTCAGTATAAAAAGCCGTCACTGTGTTGTTGTGCAATGAGTAGCTCATGTCATAACAAGCCTTCCAATGGGTAGAGTGTTGGACCAGAGAGTGGGARACYAGRGWTYSAGACYSRCMYGRRCACAMWYWAWTTAWTTATTTATTTTCATTCGTTATGAACACATTTTCTCATGTACCTCTATTGTTTAGCTTATTAAAGCCTTGTTAAAGCCTATTTGTTTGAGTTTCTGAGGTATTTTGACCACTGCTGCTCCCTGCTCTGGTAACAGCATGCAGAGTGAGCGCAGAGCAGAGGAGGTGGAGGAAAAAAAAAGCTGTGACCACAACTCTGCCTCTGGGTCTCATATGGTTGTACAACAGAGCTTCTGCTATTGTTAGCCATGCTAACGTAAACGCTGGCTTTGGAGGGCGGAGTTAATGTCAACAGATTTTTGGAGGGCGTTACCAACAGAGCTCATTAACATAAACAGCTCTTCTGAACGGAAGTCAGAGCAGGCAGAACTAGAAAATGGGAAATTTTATTATCTGAGAATTATTTTGTGCATTAAATTGAATGAACATGGTCTGGATAGCCCACAGACATACCATAAAMATTTCTAGGACCCATAATTGGTCTCCTTTAAAACTCTGGCATTAAAGGCAGCATTCCATCAAGCAATGTTTGGCCTTTAACTGATTTGGTATTTAGTCTTCTATCTAAATAAACTCATTTAGAGTTTGTTTGTTTGTTTGTTTTTTTGTCCTTTTACCATGTTGTAATTTTCCTGCAGGTGCGTCCTCCATGCTCCAGAGCCCAGACGGGAACTGGATCGCTCTGCACAGTTCCCAGCTCTCTCGACCCAGCCTGCTYACCAAGAGGAAAAGCCTGGTGTTCAGCGTGCTGGAGAAAGAGTCCAACGTGGTCTCGGCCTACGACGAGATGGGCTCCAACTCGGAGGAGGAAGACGAAGGCTGCTGGGGCGCGGCGCTGCAGCAGTTCAGGTGCAAGCTGTCGGATGAGACCTACTACACGGACTCGCAGCACGACCCGGAGTGGACCTACACCCAGCACCTCCCCGTCACCTCGCCGTCCTCGGGACAGTACACCAACACCGAGACGCTCAACTCCGACTCCGAGGCCTCGTCCCTGTTGTCCGCGTACCCCCGCAAACCAGCTCCCAACCTGTCGAAGAAGAAAGGAGCGTCGGATTCTCACCTGCACCCTCATCAGCAGCCGCTCTACCAACAGAACTTATCTCCATATCCAGTCCACTCAGAGGCTCTGGATGTCAACTTTAACCCCAAAGTGGTACGTCTTTAAAAAGTGCACGTAACGACGACGATGCTGTTAATGCTTCTCTGTCCTCTTTTGTTCTGAACCTCCMTATAAAACACAAAAAGCTTATGCTAAAATGCTCCTGCATGCCAGGTTCTGCACGCCCTCTGCAGGGAAGAGTTGCAACAAAAACTATGAGACGTTCTTTCACCTTTAAGTTCCTCTTTAACACGTTAAACACGTCAGAAGAGCTGAAATCACCACAATGACAATTAATTTTATTAGAGCGGAAAATTCATCTGTTCTGGGAGGAGATCGGGAAAAGTATAAGTAAAAATGTGAACTACAGAAACAAAATGATGTAAAACCCAAACAAAAGCAGCCCAGCCGGTCCACTGGATCTAAAACTTCTATAATAATGAATTGATCTTATAATGTATTTCTCTTCCTGGTTACACCCCTGGAGGTGTTACCTTTTACATCCAAACGTCACCAAATTTGTTCATACTGCAGCCAGAACACAAAAGATGCACACCAACTCTCATCCTCTGTTTTAAACGTAATGCTGCAATAATCAGAAAGTATAAAATACAAAACTGCATCTAATGTTATTTAATCATTTACAAAATTTCCTTCAAGGTCTTAGAGAAAATTACATCAGGGGGTCACCATTTTGTAAGGAAAACACAGGATCAATGATTGGAAGCCAGAATAATTTTGCAGAAAAATAAGTTGATTCTGTTTAAAAAGCTTTATTCCTCAGATTGTGTCTCCATTTGAGTGTTCAGAGCCTCTGTCTCCCAGCGCCTGTCTRTGTGAAGCAAACAATAAGAAAGGAAAGGCCTGTACGAACTACATCCGAAGCCGAACAGTCGACGCGCGGTCACGTGGTTGTTCGACGTTCGTTTTCGTAGACACTTTTCATGGTTCCCGAGACACATCGTGACAAACTCCCAGGAAACCCGCTGGAGTCTACACTCTGGAAAACAAAAAGCAAAAAAAAAAAAATTAAATAAAAAATGAACTCAGATCTGCCGTTATTTGTCCACAAATCTGTCCCGGTTAATGCGCCACACTTTTCTGCAGCAGATGGACTCTGTGCAAAACGTCTTTTTTTGTCTCCATTCATGAGTTTTAGGTCGTATTCACACCTGACATGTTTGCTCCGCTTTAAATGGACCAGAGTTTGTTTCCAGCGCTGGACYGAACTTTTTGTGCAGGTGTGAATACGGTCATAGAACTCTGGGGCGGATCAAACAACCGGATCGAGACCTGCTTTTTGAAGYGGTCTCGGTCCACTTYCAAACAAACTCTGGTGCGGTTCGGACTCGACCCGAAACAACTGCATTAAACATGCGCCTTTTTGGACTTCACAGGCCACCACTGCTGAGCTAAATAAACTGAAATCATACATGTTTCGTCGTCCCCTGCTTAGCATGTGTTGGGTCAGAACACGCAGAGCACCTCGTCTCCTTTGGGTCGCGGGACACATTTACTGAYGYYRCTCCAAAATTAGAATATCATCATGAAACCAKCATTAAATTAGCTGCTTTTGAAATTTTAAATGATATTGCAGTCGTACTATCAGCACAAACATGCACATCAGAACCGCAGCACGCACAACTTCCTTGTTTTCTTCCTGGGTCTGTGCGCTCAGGCTGCGATAAAAACATCTCTTCTCTTCTAAAGTCTTCGTTTATTTAAACCATAACATCACCCTGGGGGCGGTACCTTTTGACATGATCTTAAACAAGCTTTGTTTATGTCACAGAATGGGACACATTGAGACTTGCTGAATGACTGCAGTTGATAAAATAAAAGTCTGTGTAAAATTCAGTTAATTAGTCACAAAATTTTACCTCAACCACTTAACGTTCAATGCCAAATGTTTTAGTTTTTGTCATAGAAGACTTTATCAAATGAAAAATGTGTCATCTTGAGTACTGTAAACTTAATTCATAACCTAYAAATAGAATATGAAAATTAATGTATTTAGTTTGAATCTGTGTGAATTCACCTTTTGAACTTTTTTCAAACTGCCAGCAGATGGGAGCAAAAGCTTCTTATCTGATTTAAAGAAAAGATTTTGCACATCACTGCTGCAATAACTAAAAATAAAACATCCAGGAAATTTGATATGTTTTGTAA